GCTGAATCAGAAATGTGGCAGCTGGGACTCCAACCAGTGCTCATATGGGATGTCAGCATGTCAGCAGCTTATAACTGGCTACGCTACACTGCTGGCCCCAAGATAAAGGACCAAATTTTAAGGCAAAACTTTTCACATCCCAAATCACACTATTTCTTACAAAGCACAGACTGTCACTGAGTTTTACCTTCTTTTCTAAGCGCTATTATTATTTTATGTTTCATTATCATGAGAGCCAAGAAACAGTTCCAAGAACCCTAGGAGGCACATTACAGTGGGGTGGGGGGTGTCACACAATCTAAGTTAGGATCTAGTATCTGTCTGGTACTTTCATATGTGATAACAACCCCAAGGGCCAGGTATTTATCATTTATAAACAAGGTTGCTAAAGCTTAGGGAAAAAAACAACTTGCCCAAAGTCACATATTTGACTAATATAGGTAGATCCTAATGTTTCCTAAAAATGAAATGTGTCCAGCATTCAAAATAAACAGAACTCCATCACCATGCAGTTGTGATTTTTACTCATTGCAGTCCTCCAAGAGAAATCCTGAATGCAAACTTATGTTGGATACAACTCAAAGTATATGCAGGCACACATGAAAGTATAATTGTAGTACAACACAGAAAGGCTCCCCTCATCTATAAAAAATAAATCTGTGTGGTTGTCTGTAGAAATTTGTTAGAATAAATATTTAGTATTGGTTTTGTTGAAAAATGAACTCACACTCACTGACAATATTTACATGAAACACAGAATAACAAGAGAAGGAGAGATAAAGATCTTTCACCACTGGTTCACTCCTCAAATGGTTACAGGAGCCTGGAAGACAACTCTGGACTCCCAAGGAAGTGGCAGGGCGTTCGACTGCTTTCCCACACAGTGTGCTGGATGGGGAGTGGAGCAGTCTAGACTTGAATCAGAGCTTACAGGGATGCCAGCATTGCAGATGGTGGCTTCATTAGCTGCTGCACAAAACTGGACCCCAGTGAAAAATATTTAAAATAGAAATGATTACATATAGAGACAACCAGAAGTCAAAACATTTAAAGTTTGCTAGGATTACATTAGCACAAATTACATTTTCTTTATACTCAAAACCTAATGATAGGAACCAACCTGCAAAAGAAAACATACAAAGCACCCACTAAAAAGAATTAAGACTGAGATAATGGGGGCAGGGTGTTTGGCCTAGCAGTTATGATGCTGGTGAAGTTGCCAGTGTCCTAAATTAAAGTATCTGGGTTAACAGCCAACTCCAGCTCCTGAATCCAGCTTCCTGCTAACACATACCCTGGGAGTCAGTGCTCATGCCTGCAAGTGATGAAGTTTCTGACACACATTTGAGAACCCAGGATGGCCAACCCAGCTGTAGCAAGGTTATGGAGAATGACCTAGAGATAGAAGCTCTGGTGCTTTTCCAACTTTCAAATAAATGAGATTTACAGGATTTATATAAGAGCCTGCTTAGCAAAAAGAGTATACCAAATACTAGCTATTCTGTAATTGCACACCTGCTACAAAAGAAAAAGGTAAATCTGATCTGCTCAAATTAGCCCCTTAGGGAATGGGCTTTATTGGTACTTTCAGTGTCCACTTGCCAAAGACTAAGAGGAACACACTTGTAATGGAGTTGTGCTTATTTGTTGCAGCAAAGAAAGATCCCGTGGGGCCCAGGGCAGTGGCCCAGTAAAAGGGTTTTATAAATAAACTATTATAGAATTTGGGCTTCACCTGAATGATTTTGCAGAAGGCTCTAACAAAGGAAGGGTTCATTCTAGACTGGCTGCTCTCAATGACAGTGGTACTTCAACCGGGGGCATGGCAGATAAGAATGAAGGTAAACCTTGCAATGGGTTAAGAAGGAACAGTTACATATTTGAGCCAAGAGAAGGCAATAGTTGGTATTTTTTACAAGATGCCTGGTAACACTGGTTTTTGTGTTTAGACAACATGATAAAATGGTCTTGTTCAGTTTTATTTTAACATTATCTTCGAATAATCTTGTCTGATATGAGTGTTTTAGAAGACTGTTTATGTCCAATGGGGCAATAACTGAGCTTAGCTTTGACAGTTAGAACAGATTCTGACAGTACTGAGGTCTCAGTGTCGGGTCACTTTGTGGATGCCAGATGCTGCTTTTTTTCACCTCTAGGATATTTGGTTTACTTAAAATAGTCCATACATCCCCTGAATTAATGAAAGAACATGCTTACAATTTGAGCTGTACAATGTGAGAACATACTTGTTCATACTTACATTTCCATTTTGCTTTTAGTTAAGAAGCTTGCTTTATCCACTCTCTCAATGGAAATGGCAATATAAAAACAACTGGTTTAATCTCAGTTCATGGATGGAAAATACAAGAGATTTTATTGATATATGCTTCAATTCATTTTCCCCCGTGAGACATAACGTTAAGCTCTCTTGGCCTTTGATGATTGTTTTAGGTGAGCCATATTTTTTCCCTTCATGCTATCAATTTCCATGGTTGAGAAAAATAAGATAAAACAACACAGAACAAAAATTCTGAGCCATCTGTCTCATCACTGCTTAGCCAGACTTTAGAATACCTTCTAGTTTTAGAAATCTACATTGTGAACACTTTTCTTTATCAAATAATGAATTTATCTTCCTGAGTAATGAAAATGTGTTTATTAGCTCTGTGTGGAATTCAGCCTGCTTCTCTAAATGCATGGTGTGGATTCAGTCTTCTTCCCTGGACAGTTCCTGTGTTCTCTGTTGTAGTTAACAGGGCTGGGAACAGTGACAGTAACCTGGACATGACACATTTTAAGGTTATAATGCTTGAAGTGGATCTATTTTTAAAAATGGCTGGGGTTGGGTTCAGAGCAGTAGCCTAGTGATTAAATCCTCAACTTGCATGCCAAGGATCCCATATGGGCGCAGGTTCGTGTTCCAGCTGCTCCACTTCCCGTCCAGCTTCCTGCTTGTGGCATGGGAAAGCATTAGAGGATGGTCTAAATTCTTGGGACCCTGCACCCACATGAGAGACTCGGAAGAAGCTCCTTGCTCCTGGATTTGGATAGTCTCAGCTGTTGTGGCCACTTGAGAGTGATCACGTGGGTGGAACATCTTTATCTCTGTTTCTCCTTCTCTCTGTAAATCTGATTTGCAATAAAAATAATCTTAAAAAAAGTGGCTGAGGTTGGCCTGTGGCACAATAAGCCACAGAATGCAATGGTGGCATTCTACATGAGTGCCACTTTAAGTCTTGGCTGTTTTACTTCCCATCCAACTCCTTGTTAATGTGCCTGGGAAAGCACCGAAAGCTGGCCATAGTTTCTGCCACCCATCATGGGGGAACTATTGGAAGTTCCATCCTTGCACAGCACTGAGTGTTTTGGCCATTTGGTGAGTGAACTAGAGGATGGAAGCGATTGTTCTATCTCTCCTTGTTTCATAACTTCATTTTTCAAATAAATAAGCTTTAAAAACAAACAAACAAACAAACCTGCTACTCCAATGGCTGCAACTCAATTATTTTGGAACAAGTTTTGGTGCTATGTTAAACTCTCCGCAGTCCCAATCTTTTGCAATAGTCTAATTTGTGCAATCATCCCCTCTCCCTGTGCCTTTAACTATTTGAAAGCATTATCAATAAAAGGGATAAGAAATCTAATTCCGAGTTAAACAGAACTTGTGAGGAAACAAGGTATGCTTGACCTGAGGACCACTCCTGATATACAGCAAGGATTTTAGTACTCTGCAGCACACCTGACATGTCTCAGGGGGCAGCTTCTCATTTCTAGTCAAAGGGAGAACACTTGGCTAGAGGTTCTCATAAGTGGAATATCAATGGTGATAGTAAACAGACAGAGGGCTGAGCTCGTTAAGCCTCTAAAGAATCAAACAGTTACTAGATGGGCTAACTAAAATCTAAATATTTCAGAAAGAGAACATGGGGGACTTGACGAAAATGTTCGGGGACCTCACAAAAAGTGATATTAAACAGGTGAAATCAAGATTATAGTAACTAAAATCACTAATATTACAGTAACAGAAATATATTTAAGTATGTGTACATATAAAAGAGATCTGTCACTTTCATCAAGTGATTTTTGCTATAAAGCACGTTCAAAACTTAGTTAATGACTGCAGAGAATCCTGAAAATTTATTCTACAAAAGTGAAGAATATCTTTCTAGGATTTAAAGTACTAGTAGAGATGATGGCATATTGTACTCATAAAATTTATTTCAGCACAACTGAAAACAAGATGAAAACACAATATCTCATAAGGATTCCTAATTCATTTTACAGAATATGATCTATGTTATGTTTTGTCACGTGTATTAATTTCAGACTAGATTACTTTTAAACATCTGATTGGCTGACACTATATACTAGTCAGTAATGGCTTCCATAACAATACTCTCTGCATCACTTACAAATAAAACAGTAACAGATAGTGACAGTTTTAGAAGAGCATTAAGAACAACAAAGAATAAAAATCTTCACTGGGGCAAGAGCCATGCTAAGTTATTTCCTCAAGAAAAAGTCACAAAAACATAAATCCAGCAGAGATGCCAGATTAAAGGATGCAAGAGATCTTTAGGTATGCCAGCGTCCTGTGTGACAGAGGAGTGGGACCTTACTGGGAACTATTTATGCTCCTCATTAATAAAAAGCAGACAACATCACTGATTCATGTAGAGGACAATCATAATGACAAATGATTACCTTACAGAGTTGAATATTTCCTTATTAGATACATGCAAAACCCACATAACAAATACACAGCACTGCTAAACAACTTTCTTCCCTATACAATTTAAACCTACTTGTAGAAATTACGTTTCAAATTAAATAAACAATTTATGCTATTTTCCTCTAAGTACTTAGGTTTAGTACCAATGAACTTCTGTATCACAATTTTAGGCCAATTAAAACTTTTTTTGAAAAGCACATCAGAGCAAATTCTTGATGTCTGTTTATCATAATTCTTCAAAGACAGGAATTTGAATGCTAAATCTTACCTGACCAGGTTCTGTTCCAGTAATAGTCAAGTCTTGGATCGATCTACGTCTTGGTTGTCCGTTGCCTTTTGAGAAATTAAGAAAAACCAAATGCTGAAATATACTGAAACAGATAATTAAGGTGTAATTGCTACAGAAGGAAGTTGGAATTTGTTGCTTCTTGGACCTACACAAAATGTTTGTGAGAAAAAGAACAAGTAAGCTTGTTGAGAAAGAGAGGACCAAGGAAGGACAGGAAGCGTAACAGCTGCAGTGTTTTAACTCAAAAGTTGCTGCTCTATGATGGAGTATGTCCTAATACAGTCACTCCTACCACATGAATAGCTGCTGAACTCCGTTCCACCATCTTCTGTCATGTGTTTAAATAGACAAATGCTTGGGGGCTGGGGCTGATGACGGCATCTATTTCAGGAGCCTTACGTTAGTTTTCACAGCAAGACAGCTAGCAGGTTGTAAGACACAACTGGACTTCAACTGGCAGCAATACCTTGCTTCAGGACCTAACTGGATGCTCAGGCTTAAATTTATCACATCAAGTCATACTTACTGGATTTCATTCGCTTTTACAGAATCTGGTAATTTTTATTATTTGTGAATAATAATGCTATAAATTTCCTGCTGGAGAGGAATGACTGTCATTATTTTCTCAAATACAGCTTGTTGAAATGGGCTATTGTGTTAGTTCTACTTTAGAAACTTTTATACTAATGATAATTCAATAAAAATTCATTTAGCAAAGAATTCTAAGCATCAATTTTCAATAAAACATAATGAATTAAGTAGCCTCACTCAGCACTTTTTTGGGAATAGGGTTCTTTACACAGTATCTGCTAAGATGAGAAATCAGCTGTGTAAAAGGAAGCACCAAAATACCCTGAGTAACAGCTGACAAAATATTCTAAATTCTCTCAGCTTACAGTTAACTAGATTATGTAAGTTCTCAGCTAGTGGGCAGCATTGAGAATGTGTCATCTGATAGTGTGATCCAAGTAGCAGACACAGTAATTCTTTACAATTTTAGATTTCTATAATCCTGAGTATGTGTGAGTGCACACACAAAAACACATACATTTTATTTTAAACCAATCAATTAATATCATTTAGCATGTTAATCCATGTGATTCTAACATTATTTTGCACACAAACTACAAAGGTATAAATCAAATAAGAATTTTAATACATAAAAGGTATGGTACATAAAAACTCAAACTTATAATCGCCCCTCAAAGTTTAGGTTATCATCATTTTTTTCCATTATAGGCTATGTTTTTTGCATAATCTGAATGCAAATTTACTTAAAATTTCATTTTATTCCACAAAGTTAGAAACTAAAAGAACCACACATTCACTGAATCATACACAAGGTGTTTTTGTGAATATTTTCAAATATCATTGCTTACCAAGTACAAAAAAGACCCCCATCACCATGACTAAGGAGCAATTTTAGGGGACATTTCATTCAACACACTCATTCTAAAATTAGAAGAGATGAGACAGGCTTGTAAAAGTGTCTGGAATTCTCTTTTCAGATTAGAAACATTTGTGAATATGAGGAACCACCCTGCACAAGTGCTCTAAACCATTACATCACCATTCCAACAAAACTAGGTGGAGCGTAGGAGCACAGCCATGTGAAAACTTTTAAGTTGACAGGGTAAAGAAGAGCTGATTGCTAATGCCACAAAATGAGACATATCCAAGCGTGAGTTAAGGCAAGCAATATCGAGCAATGCATTTTAATTGGCACAACCATAGCAGAAACCATCCAAACAGTTCAGACAAAGCAAAAAAAGAAAAAAAAATCAACGAATACTTGTTGCTCCAATATTAATTTAGAATTGATTTAGAAATATGAATGCAAACAAAAAAATCAATTTCTGTTATCACAAATAAAAATTACTGGCTCAGTAAATTTGGATTCTAAATTTTGTATAACTGAATTCTAATTTAAAAATTCACTAACTTGACATTTTTATGGTATTCTGGAATGTGCACATCCATATTACACATAGTAAACAAAGATGTAGAAACGACAGCAACACGACCTACACACGTATCTGACGTGGAATCTGAAACCTGCTTTTGATGGCCTAAGTATTTCATTCTATAAGGAATCCTGTTTCAGAATGACTCTTTTAAGTAAACATAACAAAAGGAATTCATCTCCCACCTCTCCTCTATCAAAAAAAAATTAAGAAGCTAAGAACAGAAGCTAGAAGACAATTTGATGCTTTTTATAGTAAGAACAGAAAAAAGATCACTTATGTTGTTTAAAAAAGCTGCTCTTTTACATCTAACTGATTATCTGAGCTGCCTTTTGAGTTACCACAGAATCCACCCAGAGATTGCTGCTGCAGGAAGCACACATCTTGATCAGTTTAAAGAAGTCGATAGCTTTACTTTCCAAGTTTCTTGGCTCTTCATTTAACAATCAACACTATATTTTCTACAGCCTCATCTTAAGCAAAATGTTGGTAATTTTGAGATTCTTAGGTTTTGAACATTAGAAATTGTGGGACACATTCTCTTAAGTAAAATGTGATTTAAAAACATGTATAACACTATACACTGTGGTATTAAATTATTTTAAAGCTAGTTTGCAATTTCAAAATATGTGTTCTTATTAAAGTCACACAAACCTGATACTCCTTTACTAGCTTAAACAAATTCCAGCTCTTTTCTTACAAAGGCCATACAAGTGGATTTTTTTGTTCCTCCGTAAAACAAACAAATTTTTTACTTTGCCTTTAGTAAATCAGCTTTATTATAGTTTGATTTTTTATTTTGTGAACTTTTTTTTTGCTAACCATATAGTAGACAGATTCCTAAATATTCATTGTACGCTGTATTAACTTTCCTATCTAACTACAAACACAGAATTTTATTGAAAGTGAGGTGTTTATACAGGGCAGAAATGGGCAAAATCTATCATACCTTCCTATGGATCTCGGTATCCCTATTGAAAGGTTTACAATTGTCTGTAACGTTAACTGTGCAAGTAGGAAATTGCCAAAAAATGAAAAGCACTTCAATGCACTGCTTATCTACAGAACATATAAGAACATTTTCAAGTGCTGAAAATGCAATCAAGGGGCAGGTGTTTGGCCTGTTGGTTAACAAGTCAGTTAAGATCCCAATGTCCCATAGCAGAGTGACTAGGCTCTGGCTCCCAATTCTAGTTTCCCACTAATGGATAGCCTGTATTCCTGGCTCCCAGCTGAGGGCTGGGCTGGGCTGCCCTGGCCCGGCTCCTGCCTTGAGTCTTATGGGCATCTGAGGTGAAGCAGAAAATGGGAATTCTCTATTTGTCTATGTCCATTTGGTTTTGTTTCCTGGACCCTCCAACTTTCCAAAAAGCAATTCACCAGTGTAATAACGTCTGAAAAAAGAAATTCAGATAATTACATGAATAAAAATTGTTCAATTACAAATTGTCCCTAATTTCCAACTCAACTAATCTTCAAGATTTATTTATTTATTTATGTAATTTAAGTATTTTCAAAAATGTACTTTCGTAAATCACATTTTAGAAATCCATATCATTTTACAATGGCAAGCATAAGTATAAATGAAGCACAGCATATTTTACATTAGAGTTGGAGATGAATGGCTCAATTAAACCTTTTACAGGTGTTTTATATATATGCACAAGCACTTTTTTCCAGTGGATTCCAAACTGTATTATAATCACAGCTGATTTCTACTAAGTGCTCTATTCACACAAGCAAGGGCTGAGGAGCACGACTGCTTATCTTCCTTGATTGCTGACCGTAAAAAAGATCTGCTTTGTTAACTACTTACTCTGCTTTTAAAGTGGAAAAGCCTGTTCCTCCTTTCTTGTAACTTATGAGCATTTTACTTGTTCATCTTTGACATGTGGATTTTTAAAAGAAACATACAATTTAGATATCTGCTAGCACCAGAAGTGGCATTATCAGAGTGTACTACAGAATCTTACAGTCATAACTTACTATTTCATCTGGGTATTTGAGATGAAGGGACGGGAAGAAACAGAAAGCAAAGTCAAGACCTGTGCTTTTACTGCCCATATTAAATGCTGGAAGAAAAATCACCAGAAAACTTAAAGCAATCCAATAATCTACCATTCAATTCCTTTTCTTTAAATAAAAGTACAACAAACTCTAATTCTTTGGCTGAAAAGATTGGATTGTGTTTGTGTGTTTTATTTGAAGTCAGAGTGAGAGAGAAACACAGAGGGAGAAATCTTGTAGGTAAGCTCACTCCCTGGATGGCCACAGCAGTCAGGGTTGGGCCAAGCCAAAGCCCAGGAGCCAAAAGATTCATCCAAATCTTCCTCTGCAGCTTTTCTAAGCCACCAGCAGTGAGCTGGACCAGAAGAGGAGCAGCTGATTCTGGAACCAGTGCCCATACGGGGTGTTAGAGTCCAGGAGGCAGCTTTACCTACTACGCCACAATATCAGCTCCAGCATTGTGCTTTAACAGAAAAAACTTAAAGCATTTATTTTCTTTTCCCATACTCTGTTCCAATGTATGAGCCTAAAATAGACTTCTAATTTGGAAAATTTGGGACCCAACTGTCCAAATCACAGGAATAAATGTTCATACTGAATAGTGCTGTAAGCCATCCAGGAGCTAGAGCTGCGTACTAAACTCAGATACTCCGATGTAAAATATGGGGTGTCTGAGCAACTGGCATCTTAACTGGTAGGCTGTACACTCTCCCCTCCACAGCATTTCATTAGCACAGCATTAAGCTTTCCTGACTCCACAAGGAATCAATGTAACAGTCTCTCCAAGTGAACATATTAGACAAAAGGAAGAATTGCTCCCTCTGGCAAAATTATTATATTATCTTTCTGACTTAAAAAAAGCAAAAATCAATGTGATCTGGACTCAGAAGATCTGGGCTGGGGTCTTGCATATGTGAGTCTGGGAAAAGCACTCGTAAGTTCATCATTTGTAGTGACTTTGATTTCTTCTGATAAAGCTGTCATTAGGTTCAGTTAAGATGATGGATCTTCAACTGCTTTGCGGGCTATGGAGTGCATCTAACCAGGGTTTCTCAGCTACAGCACCACTGACATTTTGAATTGGATAACTTTTTAATTGTAGGAGACTGTCTGGTACAAAGGTTAGTTAGCAGCACTGCTGGCTGCCCCACTATATTCCAGTAGAACTTGCCAGCTGTAAATTCTTCTTCTTGCCCAGTTATCTTGTAAGGGGGTAACTTTAAAAAGTTTCTAGAAAATTGTACTAAGAAACTACGTTGCTGCAAAAAAAAAAAAAAAAATCTGAAATTACTTGATACTATTGTTGCTAGCTATCTTGCCATATCATATTTATTAATAATGCCTACCCATAAGACCTGGACTGATTGTGGCCATCTGTCTAAATTTTCTTGATCCTTCCAACGGTTTGAGGTAACCTCAGCACATCAGCAAGTTTAAATAGTGCCACTTCTTTAGCCAGAGTACTAGTTCCTTACTACCTTTCTTCATGGAGGAAAAATGATTGCAAGTATTTGCAGACCATACTCCTAAGTAAAAATCAACCTTATTTTTTGGACAGCAATAGACAAAATTCCCAATTTGTATTTCTGTATCCTGGCTCTTAGCCATGAGATGCTCAATAATGGTGTGTTTCTTTAAAATAAACATATTATTAATGTTAGCTATTAATGCTAACTAATGCTAACTACTGTTGATTCAAAAAAAAATAATAAACAAAGACACAGTCTCCACTGACACAGTTTTCAGTTTAGTAGATGAGGCAGAATACCACAAATTATAGACAAAATATGGTATGCTGAATCTACCCAGATTACATGCATAAATGTGTGCAGAAAACACTGGATATTTCCTTATCAAAAAAATTGGGGACAGAAGTGGAAAGGCATCTATTGCAGGAAGACACATAAATGAAACTATTTGGATAATAGATTAATCAATATTGAAGCTCAAACATGCATTTCAATTTCTAATGAAAATGGTGTTTTATATTCCTCTATGAAATAAAAGTTGTTTATTAATGTGAGAGATTGAAGTACCATGTGTGAGCTAGGTACAAAAAGTATTTGGTTTGTGAGATTTTCCTGATGATACACAGAACCAGAATTGATCACATATTTTACAGGAATCTTTGGCAAGATACCCTGCAAAACAGCACACTTCACCTTTAATTTTATTTTCACTTTGTATTCTGCCCTCTAAGGTAAAGATAAAATTTATATAGCAACTCTTTTAACTTTAAATGTGCTAGCTACCAACAGAAAGAGGCAGAAATAGAAAACCTTGTGGAAGCCCCAAACTGACACACTAGGACAGGAAAGAAAGGAACCACCACCAACAAACTTCCATGGTTGCCTCCTCTTTCTGCTGGGTGCAGGGTTCTGGGTTGGTGTTGGCCCTTTTGTGAAAGGTTTACTTTCCTTTCTACTTTATCCTCATTTTTGTAGATCTGAGGATATTTTTTCAAGCTTGTTTTGGTGTAAGTGTATAGTTCACTGTCACACAAGGTATCTGTTTTCATGTCTCACAAAAATTGGAGCAAGAAGCATTTTAAAGGTACCAAGGATCATTATTGCGGTTCCACAGTTATTGGACCGACACAGGTGGTGTATGATACCTGATATGGCGATCTCAGGGACATCCAGAATGGTGCCAAATGAAGCAGTTTTACGGTGGCCCCGTTTAGGCTTGGTATAGGCTGCAAAACACATACATACAGTATACATGCAAACAAACAAATAGTAACACAGAACACGATGAACTACAAAAACACAATACTTTTCCAAGAGTCATGTTAATAACATCTCATGCAGAATGGCATGCAGAACTATCTACCTTACATCCATGCTTAGGAATAGCATGAGTAGAGAGCAAACAACTATCGATGCGAGATGTTTCACAAACTTGTTTTAATCAGCAGAGAGAAAAATAGACAAAGCTGCACAGCAGTGAGAAAGTTAAATTCCAAATGTGCTCCCAGAAACAATCTACCTAAGAAAAACACTACCCAGAAAAATCTACCTAAGTGAAACTGCTGACCTGCAATGGGAGCAGAGGAGGGAGGAAGCAAGAAGAGAGGACTTACACAAGCTGCCATTTGTTTTAATCATGCAAGTACAGAGTATGTAATCAAACAATGTGTTTCTTAAAGTAAGCTATAAAGACAAACTCAGTGATTAAAGGTGATTATTGAATCAAAGTAGACACTGTCTATGCTTTCTTATGTGTAAAAACTCATACATATTTCTAGTCAACTGAATCTGTCTGTGTGTTTCCAGTTTAGGGTATTAGAAGGAAAGGCTGTAGTGTATGAATCATTTAAAATAAGATCATTCACTGAAAAATCTGAGTTACGTAAAATTCATAGGATGTACAACTATACATAAGGAAAAAAGCAGAGAGTAATTTTTTAATGTCTGGTTATCCTTAACTTGGTGAAGTATCACTTCTATAAAAAATACTTACACATTAATACTTGACTAGAAAAAACTCATAGCAAAGATATAAAATTATTATAATACTGCCTGGTGTGAGATGACTACCAGTATTTGTAAGTCTGTCTTGAGTAACATCCCTGAAGAGTGAAGGTTCCCTGGGTATGTGAGCATGACCCTGTGGGGGCCGTGATAGCCTTCCTCCCCTCAGCGGAATGTGTAGATAGCTGACCACATTGCTCTGGCCAACGACACCTATGTGCAAGTTGTCTGGTGAGACTTCTGGGAAGGCTCCTTCAAAGAGCCTGAACATCCCTTCATCTTCCCCTTCCTATTTGATTCTTCTTGAGGCCTGAAAGGTGAAAGTGATGAATGGAAGTTTAGCAATCCATTCGGAGCATGAGGTAAACCTGAGAATGTATGCTGTACAACAGGGACTATAGCATGGAGAGACAGAGGACACCACCATAGAGATGAATCAGATGCCCCACGGTTAACACAACTCAAGTTTAAGTGTGACAGACAAAGCTTGTACCTCAATGACATAAGCCTTAACAAATTTCTATTTGTTTTATCTAACAAATTCCAGAGCTGGCTGATAAAATCAGTAACAAGATTAGTTGAATACCAAGTATATGTTTGATGGTTCATCTGGACTACAGTCTCAAGAGAGATCTACACACAATAATGATTTTTCTATTTAGGGAAAAAAAAAACAAATAAGAAAAAACAAGACCTAAAAACACAAACTTGGTTAGGTAAGTTAAAAAATACATATCCAAATACACATGGAAATACACATTAATACACATACAGTTAAAAGTCTAGAGGCAAATAAACAAAAAGGTTAATTGCTTATCTCTGAGTATGAAAATTATACAAATTTTTTTCTGGTTTATTTACAGTCCCATGTTTCCTAAAGCAGAAATGTATTAACTTTCAGTATCTGTTCCCTTCCAGCACAAGGAAAATCAAAACAACCACATCCAAAGAGATGGCTGCCAGTTTAATAACAAAATCTATAATATTATTTTTGTGCTGACTAGTTCTTCATAAAATCAAATTTATATGTTAGATTTTTCAAGATCTTATAAAATAATCATTATCTTTCAATTTATAATTAAACAAGTTAACCAAACCCTTCTAGTAGCTATTTCCACCACTGAAGATTTCATAAATTTTGTAATTAGGAAGGGCTATTTTATAAATCAGATAGTTTTACAAATCTTAATTTCCTTCTATGGAACTTGAGAAATGAATGCATAAATTGTTCCTAGAAGCTTAGAAAGTACATTATAAACTTATTTCCTTTAAAAAATTATAGAAAGACTGAGATCCTCACTGGAACAGCTAGAGCTAGCACGCCAACACAGCACTGCAGTTTTGCTCCTTTTACCTGTGGTTGCAGCAATCCTAGCTTCTATTTCCGACATGTCAGCACTCATCCTCTTGCCCTCGGACATTGGGGGCAAGCTCTCCACGCTGCTCCCCCGGGAGGCTCCCAAGCTCAAGCGTCCGGATTCACTCTGTTAAAATTATAGGTTAGTTGGGATTACTGAAATTCCTTAGATTTAGAAATCCAGGAGACCCTAGATGGAAGAAGATGGCAGGTGGCATTCCTATATGTAGATCCTGTCCTACTCTGAAAGAAGAGGGAAGTTTGCAGAAGGGAGAACAAGCTACACAGATTGCCTTTTCAAAGTGCAGTCACTGGACTGCATTGGCAGTTAAAATGCCCCAGTTAGTACTTCATCCAAATGCCTCAGGCATGATGAGTAAAATCACTCTTAAACTATTTTTAAACTAACATTGACAACAATATAATAAATTGTTTATTGGCTTAAAATAATAAATCTATAGGATATAACTCCTGTAACTGGACAGTGCTACCAAAATATCACCTCATCCCATATTTTCAACTAAGCAACTACTCATAGGGAGAGGGTTAAAAAAGTTGGCAAAGACAACAATCATAATTAGAAGGAAAACAATTTCTTTAAAAAAGAACAAACAAACAAAACAGCAGGATAATCTCATCACATCTCTGTTCTTAAGTTCATCTATTCCAGGAAGATTTAGGATTTATAAAACAGAAAATGATAAATTGTTAATTTCAGATAATATAATGTTATGCTTCAGATAAGGTTATTACAACAATTTTCCTAAGAGAACAAACCTGCTGCTTGGCTTGATTTTTTAATAATTTTGATTCTAGGCGCTTAATAGTATCATTTGTGGCAGGAAGTTGTTCCATATTAGTATCACTTTTATTACTTGTATTTGTAGAAGCAATATCCATGAATGAACCTAGGAAAGCAGAACATTTATGATTACAGATTGAGAATAATGTAAATACTTCACTCAATAATATTTAAATTAAATCTGTTCTAAACTAGTAAGACATATAGAAAAACAAGACTTTTTAAACTAATGATAGCTCAAATTTGCTGTTTAAAAACAAGATTCATTTATTTATGTGAAAGAGAGAGATCTTCCATCTGCTAGTTAATTTCCCAAATGCCAGCAAAAGCCAGAATTTGGCTTGACCAAAGTTAGGAGCCAGAAACCAATCCAGGTCCTTCACATGGGTGGCAGGGACTCAAAACAGCCATTGTATGCTACCTCCCATGTACCTTAAGCTAGACTGGACGAAGAAGCAGGACTCATCTTAGGCATCCTGATTTGGCAGCTTACCCTGTTGGACCACAACATCTGCTCTCAAATAAACCCATTTTAAACGGAACTCAAAGATAGCCGAAAAAAGGAAACGATATGCCTAAATGATCTTATTAGAATATCACTGAAGGCTCTTAATTGAGGTGGGAAAGATAACAGGAAGAATGAAATGAAGGAAGTAATCAAGAACTCACTAAGGATTGTTAAATGTGAGTTTCTATTAGATATTAAAGAGCTAGTTCCCTGGATGAGTGTGGAGTTTCAAATGGAGGAGAAAAGTAACAGCATATAAATGTTGGAAAAAGCCATGATACTGGGTGAAGTTACCAAGCAAACAGACATTAAGTCCTGGACACTTTGACACTGATAGATTGGAGAGATGAGAAGAATAACCAGCTAAGAAGCTACAAGTGGGCAGAGGAGTAAGATAAAGACCAGGCTGGTATGCTCTTTTGCAAACCAGCAAGAAAAAAGTGTCACAAGGACAAAGTAGTGATGTCAAATGCTACTGAGTCAAGTAAGATGAGAATTGCAAATTCACTTATTAAAAAGTCAGCAATACAGAGATAACTGCTAACCTTGAAAAGAATAAATCCAGAGTTGTGGTAGACTAAATCAAGTAGGTACCGGAAAAAATGGAAAGAGGGAATATTTTCAGATAATGCAAATACAGCCTAGATTTGCTCTGGGAATTGAGTGAGCAGAAAGACTATAGCTGATGATATCAGAGGGGAGAATTTCTGGGAAGGACAGATAGGATATAATATACAACCAGAAAGATTTGTGATTGACTAGGAGCTTGGATGGCTTAGTGAAAGCAAAAAAAAAAAAAAAAAGAAGAATTTAGAGTAGATGAGCACAAGTGTAGTCTGCAGACAGGATAGCAGAGTAGCTTGTGGAAACTGTCTTTTGATTACTCCAATCATCTCATAAAAATAGTAAACCAATGTTATCTGAGAGTGAGGAGATGTCGCAAGCTTGAGGAGAGGATAAGTACAAAATTAAGTCTTTTCGAAGAGAGGTGATGAAGTGAAAATGTGTCTAGCAGCAGTAAGTACATGTCTGAGGAAGAGTTAAGCATGTGCTGTCTCCAGCCATATCTAGCTGTGCCGGCACACGTAATAAGTAAAAGAAGTGCCAGTTTTAATCATGTTTAGGGTTAATGCAGGCAATTCTGAGATATGGGCTACAGGAATGAAATTATTCATAAAAGAAGATAATAGTTGACAGGGGTTAAGTGAAGGGCAGAACAGAGAAAGAAAATCAAGATGACTGACAGTCAAAAAAAAGATGTAAGGCTTGAAGCACACTTTGGAAATGCTTAGAGTTTGCAGGTAGTAGGATAAGCAAATGATGGCAGTCAAAGCCTACTCAAGTGATTTTTCATCAAAACTGAATTCAAGAAGAGCTAAGGAAGATGGGCACTTGGAGACTGACAGACATGGAAAAGCAGCAGAGACAAAAGTGAGGTGTTGCAGTGACCGAATAACCCAGTGGCAGTCAGCCAGCAGCAAACGGAGCTCCACCAGCACCAAGGTAGAAAGAAGAGTTCACCCAGGCAAGGAACTGCCCGTCCCACTGATGTGCTTGATTCGACAAGGGGCAGAGATAGAGCAGAGGATCCCAAATAGGCAGTGCAGGGGCAGGGTGAAGAAATTTTCCTTCCTTCAAAAACAGTTTTGTTTTTTCATATTAAATTCTTCACTAACTCATAGGTCATACAGCAGCATTATTTTCTTCAAGAAGGTTCTTGATTTTCTTTTGCGTTTCTTTAGCAACACATTAATCCTGCAGTAGCATGTTATTTAACTTCATGGTGTTATTAACTTCTTTATTCTTCCTGTTGTTAATTTTGTTTTGTGGCTTTTTTTTTAAGGGAATGCATAGTAACTGTGTAATGGAGACTATCATATCCAGATGTGAAGATACAATGCAGTATGCATCTCTACTTCCAGATCAAAGATGAGCTCCCAATGAAACTATTAACTATATCATGACAATAGGAAGCTGGACCCTTTGCCATTGTCCATGCCCACAATGATGGACATACGAGTGTTTACAAAGAACTATACTATTGTAATAATATAGGGGAAATCAGTGTATGTAGGAGATTTAGGGCAGGGGTCAAGGAAATTCCAGACCCTATGGAACTGTGTCAGAAAAAACTAACATTAATTTTAAAAAATTGAAAAAAAAAAAAAGTACAGCTAAGTAAAAGCTTTAAAATAAATAAAAACTACTTTTGAGGAGAGAAAGACCAGTAAAAATTTCAATAAAAATAATTTTAAATGAAAAGCAAAAATATGAGAAGACTAATAAGATCTTCCAAGAGGTATCTTTTAATTCCATTTTCCATGTGCTTTTTGAAATACTGTTGTATATATATACAAGCACATCTTTTAGTATAATTAATGTCAAAATGGGTAAATACCATATATTCTGAGAAATATAACTCTGAGTACTTTTTCTATATTTTGACACCCACAAGCTACATATCTGAATACTTTTTAATGAAAAAGTTTTTAACGAAGAAAAGTTCTTAACTATAACTCAGTTTCTTAGACAAGAGTCTCATCAAAAGAGAGCCTGAAAGTCATGATGAAAAAATTTATTAAACACTTTTACAATACTTTCTAATACTATTTAGCCTAGGAGCATTGGGCAAAAACGTCATGTTAAGAATATATAGCCATGTAAGAATCTCAAGCTTTGGAAGTAGGTCTGAAATAAAGTCTTTAATGTGGGACCTTAATGAAAAGGATGCACCTGGAAACTCAAATTGCAGTCAATCATATGAAATGAAGGAATTAAAATGCAAATGGGAGCATCATTCACTGCTTCTTGATTATAATTTCATGGAAATAGGACTCCACCCCTCCTCCCCAAAATCAGGTTATCAGTCTTAGTTTCTACTCATTTACCTGTACTAGTAGCAGAGTTGCTCTGTCCTTCATCTGAATATTGACAAGGATACTGTAATGGCTCATCTGCTCCTGGGAAGTACTATATATCAAAAAATAAAGAATAATTTAAAATTTCTTTACTACAAATAAATTCCTGTTAAGGTTAACCCAAAAACTATATCTTAATTACTTTTCTGGTAGGATTTTGACTACAGTAAATGTGCTGATTTTCCCTGAGATAAATACTAAATTTATACTTGCCCAAGTTTCTGATTTAGTAAGATGATGACATACTCTTTCGAATTTCAATTATGACTGCCAGCCACCTACCTAAGTGACTTATTTACATGTAGTCCAAAAAATCTTGAAGCAAACAACAAATACTGCTCTTGAGCAGTGGTGGGGGAAATTTTTCCTCTGTCAAGGCCCATTTGGCTATTTATACTATCATTCACAGGCCATACAACATTATTGGCTCAAAATTAGCCAGCTATAGATTTACTGAACTTTGAGTTCTGCCTATGGTTTCTTGGTAGGGATAGATCAAATGATTTCAGGAGACTTACTAGCCCACAAACAGAGGAACATGTAAAATAGAAAGTTATCACAGCTCAGAAGCATCTGAAATATATTTTTGTTCTGAAGGCAATGATGTAACCTTTTAGACGGCTGCAATGGTTATCAATTTGACAAGAGACAATACGCCATATCATAACTGTTAAAACAAAAAATATTAAACATCCTAAGTGTCAAGAGAATAGGTATCAGATGCTCTAAGAATTGGAGACATAAAACTGAAAGCACTGGCTACACAAAAATATTTAGTTTAGGGCAAAAAGATACTCTTCCAAAATTAGACAAGCACATGTATATACAGTAAAAACTGAACAATTTCTGTATCTGAAATTTCTATTATCTGTTTCCTTATGCATGAAATCCTTAGGACCTTAACGTCTATATTTGCTGGATTCCAAATATGACAGAAATGCTAAACAAATTAGTTGAACCTGTTTTTCTTATACTGTTTTCAATACACTGAAAAACTGATATCTTTGACTACTAGAAAAATCACCAGGTCTATATTTAAGGAGACCTCAAGGTTGTTCTATGGGTCAAAATGCTCTGAAATTCAGGCACTTATTAAACGTACAAATTGATTTTAGCTGAAATTCTACCTGATAGCATTCCAACTTTGCCAGAAACTAGAAGCCTAAGAAGATATTTCAAGCAGTTCTAAACTATTTTGCTTTATAGAGTAGGAAAGTTTTCTGTAAGTCATAGAAGAAAACTAAACCTTACTAAAAAGTTTTTTTAAGCTATAAAACCTATACATATGCAAAAAATCCAATTAAAAAACCCCTCAAATATGGCCTATTTCCCTGTACAATTTAATAATTGATACTAAGTGTCTGATGATATTTATCACAAAATTTTTATGTTCCTGCTACTGGGAATATAAACTGTAACATCACCTAATTCAGCTTCTCTCCCATTACAGATGAGATAACAGGCTCAGAAACACATAGTCACCAATGCAAGCAGTGTGAAAAAGCACACCCAGGAGCCTAGCCTGGCCATCTTTCCGTAACAAGCACCCAGGCTACCTGTGTCCTTCACACCCAAATACTTCTTCTGGTTACTTGAGTAATATGAAAAGGCAAATGGTTATAATGTTTCCTTTACACTAAAATCCCAGTAAAATTCAGTATAAATTAAGTTTCCCTAGATCCAAAGCCCCTCAAAAGAAGGATTATACCCGCATCAAGTGAGTCATTATTTTCACAATTTCCTCCATGGAAGGGCGCTGAGAAGGGTCCTTAGACCAACAGCGAGTCATCAGGCTCTCAATGGGCTTAGGTAAGTTTTTAATCAGTGGTGGTCGAATACCTATAATTAAAAATGAGAGAAAAGAATAAATTTACCTAAAGAGCGGAGCAAACACATCACTTGTATTCCCAAAGCAGTGTATTGTACATTCTATAATTTAAAATCCATTTGGCATAACAAAAGTTCTGTTCTGTAAGTTAATATTTATTCTGTTTATATATATTTTCCTAAAAGGAAAACTACATCTTTTAAAAGCAAGATTAAAGCTTTTACAAAATACTGTAATAGCAAGACTGAGAATTAATAATTTGTCACATTCTTCCATTTACTTAAAACCTTATTTATTTATAAATCAGGGCCACAGAGAGAGAGAGGGAGAAAATCCTCCATCAATTGGTTTTCCCCTGAAATAGGGGTAATAGCTGTGACATGGACAGGCAGAAACCAGCAGCAAGGAGCTTCCTCTAATCCTCTCACGTGGGGTGGGATCCAAGCACTTGGGACATTCTCTGCCTTGTTCCCAGGTACATCAGCAGCGAGCTGGAGAACCGGAGCACCCAGGACTCACACCAGTAACCATATGGCTACCACAATGCTTGGGCTGTTAAATTCTTTTTTTTTTTTTTAAATAATGGTTTCATGTGTTTTATTAAGAAAGGTTAAAAGAGGGGCAGTATTGTGGCAAAGCCAGTGCTTTTGATGCCAGAATTTCTTCTCAGAATTCCAATTCATGTCCCGGCTACTCCATACTCAGTCCAGCTGTCTACGAATGTGTTTGCGAGGGAGGGCATGGGAAGCCTAAAAGCCTAGTCTCTGCCACAGATGTGAAAGGAGTTCCTGCCTCCTTGAATCAGCCTGGCCTAATCCCAGATACAGTGGCTTTGAGTAGAATGAAATAGTGGCAGTCCAGCGCAACAGCCTAGTGATTAAAGTCTTTGCCTTGCCAACATGGGATCCCATATGGTTGCTGGTTCGTATTCTGGCAGCCCTGTTTCCCATCCAGTTCCCTGTTTGTGGCCTAGGAAAGCAGTTGAGGATGGCCCAAAGCCTTGGGACCCTGTGCTTCGGACTGGCTGATTTCCAGCTGTTGCTGCCACTTGGGGAGTGAATCATCGGATGGAAGATCTTTCTCTCTCTCTCTCTCTCTCTCTCTCTCTCTCTCTCTCTCCCCTCCTCTCTCTGTATATTTGCCTAATAAAAATAAAATAAATCTTAAAAAAACAAAATAGAATGACCTAGTAGATAGAAGATCTGTATTCCCTGTTCCCTCTCTGTCACTCTTTTAAATAAATCAATGCATTTTTAGAAGAAAGTCAAAATGGTAGTTTGATGAAAAGTTGTCTAAATTTTAGCAATTTCAAAATGCAATTAAAACTGATCTTTCATATCAAAATGTTTGTCAACTATGGCAGTATACTTGTTGACTTCCAAATGACTCCTTCTTCAGAGAAGTTTTAGTTGCTGTGAACCAATCATTTTACAGCTCAAAATTTTAACTTTCTGAATTATCAAGTGTATAATATTATCAGTAAGGTACATACTTAAAAGAGGCATAAAATATGATATTTTGCTGATTTTTAGCACATAACAAGTTAGTTTTTTTAGTTCTAATTTCTTGGCATTCAGTCATTTTATGACAATCAACAGAAGGAGCAAACTGCCTTGGGTCAACAACCCAGCATTCCTACAATGACTCTGAATGCAAAAAGTACTGTATGTGGTAGAGAAAACCACTAAAAACAGTTATAACCACTGTGACAGCAGTATTGCTTAATTCTTCTACATACAGAACAGTAAATAATAATGCTACTGATCATCACAATGAAATGAAAGAAATGAAATGATGAATGATCCTAAAATTTACTAAGGTTAAATAACTGTTCTTCATGAAAACTTTATTTTCCCAAAGCAAAATGGGATAACTATTAATGAAGAGAATTATTCTACAAGATGGGGTTAGAAACAAACAGCTAAGTGTTAAGAAATAGCCTTACTAGACATATATGAGAACAAGGAGGGCAAGAATATTGGGTCTCTCAGTCAACCTGTCTTAAAAACACAGGTGAGTGTTTCCCATGGGCAAACTGTTTGTATTTCAGCTTCCTCAAAAATGAGGCAACGGCATTCATCTCCTAAGGATGGGTGAAAATCCACAGAGGGGTTATATAGGGACTGCATTCTGCTTTCATGAACTTAACCAACAACTCAGTGCCATTTGTTGCTTTTTTTTTTTCCTTAGTGAGACTCTCCCTTCTTTAGGAGAAAAGGAGTATGAGGCCGTAGCTTGCTAATTATCTTAGCCATATGAGAATTTGTTTCTGTATTTGCTTTTTCTCAGAGTCTGGTATGATGCTTCCCTATACCTGAGAGAATGACAGAGACTGAGCTGGCAGTGGCCCTGCTCTCCTAGCCTTTCCTTAAGCAGTACAGCCAGCACCTATCCATTAGCCCTGTGCTGGGACCAGCAAAGTCCCCGGATATGCACTGCTGTACTCAGAGGGTGGGGAATGACAAAAGGAAGACAGTTTGGTAACAAAGAACTTTACTTTTTAATATTAGGGATAAACTGTTCCCTTTTCGGGGTTGGTGTCCAGGGATGCAGAAGTGGAGATGAGATAGGAACAAACTTTCAAATAGGAAATACGGAGTCTATTAAAGAAAAATTTCTTCTTACGAACCATTATGAACAGCCCACATGATTCGGAAAGCTGGCCCTCCAATTTCATCAAAGGGTTTCCGACGTGTTATCACCTCCCAAAGGATAATACCCCAACTGAAGACGTCACATTTTTCACTGTAATTGCTACCTGGAAGAATAAGAAGGCAGTATAATCTCAGACTCCTTCCCCCCCAGGATGTGCACAAACAAGTGCTTTCATTAATCTTCAGGAATCTTGGATGTAAAGAGGCTGCCGCAGGTAAAGCTAGGAAATGCCTTTCTGAAGTACCTTAAATCTTTCCGACAAACGCTTACTTTACATTTATTTATCTTCTACTTATTGTCACATGGTACAGGCCATTATCCTTCAGATATTCAGAGCGGCACTTTCTCTGGGATAGAGGATGAAAAATTCCTACATTCCTTACTGAAAGCTTTTAATCTTGAATTTTCTTTTTCTATTCTCAGCTATCAAAGCAGAAGATATCTATCATTCTGAATGAAAATGACTACTGCAAACAGATTATTCAGGAAAATTTGTATGACTACTAAATCCCTAGGTGAACCGGAACAATAAAGTCAAAAACAAAAACAAGAACAAACCCCAGATCATAACACAAATCAATAAAACTCGCGAAGACTCAGCAAGCATTACCGTGACAGCTATACATGTTCAACAGCACACTGTAATGCAGCACGACGAGGTTCATCCATTGTGGGCAAAAAAGTGTTTTCAGGTGATATCTCTCAGAAATGAAATTTACACAGTGTAGCAGTCTGAGCCTCCTTGCTCTACTCACTCCCTTGAACTCCAGGAGTTTATATTCCAAAGTCTTATACTACAAAGAGGGTGGAAATTAAATCCAATTATGCTGGTTAGAGGAGAGCCTTTGTGAAGTGATTAGCTTGGGTTAGTTTGGGGCTGAATTCCCACGGATGAATATGGTGGCCTTAGAAACGACAAATAAATGTATCTGTAAACTTGTGTGCTGTCTCTTGCCATCAGATATCTGGGCCACCTCAAAATTCTGCAAGCAAAACTGCCGTCATGACATGGCAAACCAATGCCTTAGGAACTCTGCTATAGTGCCCAAACTGAATTATGCAAAAGCCAATATTACATTTTTGAATAAATAAATCTTTTTGTTCTTGCTACAATAATATTGTACCATTCCCACTTACAGAAAAATATATTAAATAAGTAAATACATTCTTAAAAGGCAAAATAAATGTATTTTATATTCAAAACAAGAGACTTTTATTAGAAAGTCAGATAAAAAGAGGAGGAAAGACAGAGAGGAAGATCTCCCATCCAGTGATTCACTCCCCGAGGGCCACAATGGCCAGAATTGTGCCAATACAAAGCTAGGAGCCAGGAGCTTCTTTCGGGCCTCCCACGTGGGTGCAGGGTCCCAAGGCTTTGGGCTGTTCTATTGCTTTCGTGGCCACAAGCAGGGAATTGGATAGGAAGTGGGGCTGCCGGGATTAGAACCAACATCCATATAGGATCCTGTCGCATGCAAGATAAGGACTTAAGCGGCTAGGCTACCATGCTAGGCCCAAGAGGCATTCTTTAATTTTGTGCAATTTCACACTTGCATGTCCACTAACTGTTTAATTGAATTTTATGGGAAAGTAACTTCACTCCAGTGACATTTTCTCTGAGATGGCTAAAAGTACCTTCAGCTTACCAAACTAAAAGAAATAAGACATAAGGTTATGATTACTGAACAAATCTTCATCTTATATCCATTTATAGTTCTGAACATAAATATTGCACATTTTAAGTCAATTTCTCACAATTAAGAGATAATTTGCTGTTTTTACACAGAAGTATATATAATAGGCCTGGCATAATGGCTCAATTGGCTAATCTTTCCCTTGCAAACACTGGGAACTCATGAGTACTGCTCATGTCCCGGCTGCTCCACTTGCCATCTAGCCTGTGGCCTGGGAAAGCAGCAGAGGATGGCCCAAAGCCTTGTGACCCTGCACCAACGTGGGAGACCTGGAAGAGGTTCTTGGCTCTTGGCTTTGGACTGAGTCAGCACTGGCTATTGTGGCCATTTGGGGAGTGAACCAGTAGATGGAAGATCTGTCTTTCCTTCTCTCTCTAAAGCCTTTCCAAGAAAAATAAGTAAATCTTAAAAAAAAAAAAAAAAAAAAAAGGAAAAAAAGAAAAGTATATTCATGGGGTATACTTTTAAGAAAAGTATATTCATGGGGTATACTTTTAGAACCCAAATTAGATATGGAGGTATAAAAGGAAGCAAACATGATTTTAACATATACTTGTCTGTTATTTAAAACTCTTAGTATAGCATTTCTGCCCAGTTATCTGAATTTTTATTAGAGCCACTTCATTTAAACTTTAGAGTTGTTCATTTTTAATTGCTAGAAAACTAACATGAGCAAAGCTGGTTCTTGTTTTTCCTGGTATTAATGTTCTAGAGTATCCAGAAACACTACATCAAAAAATATTACTCCTAGAGGAAACAAAATGTCAGTTTCCTGGATACTTCTTGTCATAAAAAAATTCGTTTAACTGTTCAATTCGCAAAGCTCGTTCACATGTGTTTTTGTTTAATGATACCTTATTTAATATATATCAATTCATCAGCATTAAACTAGTGGTCAATGATACTATAACTCATGCCTAATGAAGACAATCTGGCACATCCGCTTGCAAACGAATCAAACACATCACAGCCTTCTTGTACTTAGGTAGCACACTTGGGAACTATTTTAACAGAAAAAAAAACCCCACAAAAATAGGGTTTCAGCAGTTTGCCAAAGGTCACTTGTTTACACTGAGAGAATAAAATAAGAAAACACAGCATTGCCTTGTTCAGCTTAAGCTTGAAATGTCAGGAGACTCAAAATTCACACTGCTCTGCCATGCACACTCTGTCACATGGGATAAGAGATTATAATCATATCATGCTTTTGCTATTATACCTTCAAAAACTTCGGGTGCCATCCATGCGGCACTCCCCTTGTTATTGGTCATGTGTGTCTGAATGTCACAGGCTGTACCAAAATCACAGATTTTTAGAACAGTCCCACCTGCGACCAGCAGCAAACTGTTAAAAAAACAAAAAAACAAAAAAAACCAACCATCATTACGATGCCAATATTTGTTTTCACAATAAAGAGATATTTGTGGGACTAGAAATGGTTAAATAACATGGATGTTATCATTCACCTTCTGTGAAATGTTCCCGGGTCATTTAAATGGCCATTAAAATTATGAACCACAGCTTGGAATACTAATAAAGACGAACTGACCATAACCTAGAATTCTTGTAGGGAGACTGGTAGGTCCACGCTTTGATATATTGGTTTCTAGCTCCAGAGCAAAAACGCTGACCACATTTTACTTTGGCTGCAGAGAAATGTGGCATTTTGCTTTTCTATGAAAAAGCAAGCAAAACCACTCTGTGAATTTTGATAGACTGTCCACTATATGTGGAGGCTGTGCAAGGGACAGAGCAGGGAACAGGTCAGGTCTGTCTCTGTTCTCAAGGAACTAGCTGAGACGACACTACAGACCACAGGCACAGAAGGAAATTCATAGACCAATAGCACCTAGAAGCATGCTACTTTAGGGCAGGAGTTCTCAAAAAAAAATAAACGTCTTACTAAAGATGACATTCTCAGATACATGACTAAACGATTAAAGTCCATCAAAAAAAATAAACATTCTCCAATAAGAGAAACTCAAGTGCAATGCAGTAATTAGATTGCAGTATTGAGGTTGTAGAGGTGGCAACAAGGGTGTAAGGGAGGGGAACAAGAAAGGGAGGGAGATGAGAAAGGAGGGAGGAAAAGGAGCTGTCACTTTATCACAACTTACTTTGGCGGTTTCAGGTCCCTGTGAATTAGAGCTTTGGGTTGCATGCTGTGAAGGTAAGCCACGCCTTGAGAACACTGTAAACACCAACTCATCGCGTGGGCAGCAGTGTAATATGGCAAAGGTTCAGCACCATGCAGCACTGCAAGAGAAAGGCACAAACTAAAAAGAACTTTATTGCATATAATGAAGCACACACTATTAACGCAAACACTATCCGAACACACAAACGGATATTTTTCTACATTTGCTCTGTTCAATCCTAATTCTCTTCTAAATAATAATAATAATAATAATAATAATAATAGCATGTGGATAATTGCCAGATAAGCATATTTCATTTAGCAGTACCCTTAGTAAATGTTATTCATGTATTTGAGCCAAAGTAATGATGTTTTCTGTAATTTTTAAAGTGGACAAAGTCTTTTAAATAATGATACAAAATATAAATGGTCTCAGTCATACTACTGTAATGGAGATGCAGAAAAAAGGAATGGAATACATTTGTAACTATATCTGCTATAATAGCCATAAACATAAAGCAGCTGAACTAAATGAAACATTGAAGTACTAGATATGTTTTAAAAATTTTATTTATGTATTTATTTAAAGGCCAGAGTCACAGAGGGAGAGGGGGAGGGACAGAGATACTTTCCATCACTAGTTCATGTCCCATATGGTCATTCAGCAGGAACTGGGTTTTTCAAAACCGAGAGCCAGGAGGTTCCTCCAGGTCTCCTGTGGGGGTGTAGGGGCCCAAGGACTTGGGCCATCCTCTGCTGCTTTCCCAGTCACCTCAGCAGGAAGTTGGATCAGAAGTGGAAGTCGGTCCTGGTGCAGTGGCCTAGCGGCTTAAGTCTTCAACTTGCATGCACCAGGATCCCACATGGGCACCAGTTGTAATCACAGCAGCCCCGCTTCCCATCCAGCTCCCTGCTTGCGGCCTGGGAAAGCAACCGAAGATGGCCCAAAGCCTTGGGACCCTGCACCACTTGGGAGACCTAGAAGAAGCTCCTGGCATCAGATTAGCTCAGCTCCAGCCGTTGTAGTCACTTGGGAAATGAATCATTGGACAGAAGATCTTCCTCTCTGTATATCTGACATTCTAATAAAAATAAATAAATCTTTAAAACACAAATAAAGATACCAGAAAACAAAAATAAATTTGCAGAAGACTTCTATATGCTCCATAAGATTTCAGAGAACAAAGCATCTTCAAGATACTAGAAAATGATAATAGCAAAACCAGAAAATAATAATAAAAAATTACTCAAATTGGTGCCCATTTGGGATGCTGGTATTGCAGGCTGTAGCTTTATCCACCATGCTATTTCACTAGGCACTAAACTAGATACCATTAACAATGAAGAACATGTAAGTACTAAGAATAAAGCAATTATACAAAATGTTACTTTGAAAATGCATAATAATTTATATTACTGGTACTACTAGAGATGCCAAATTTACTATATAGGTGATATTTAGGAGGATGAAACAGCTTTTCCCTACAAAGATAATTAAATGGCACAGTTTTGTTTTATTGCTTCAATTAAAATGCTCTATGAAATCAGTTTCTATCATTTCATTTTTTTAAAACAAAGTAAGGATAAAGATTTCTAAAATGTCTAAAATGAGTGCTTGAAGTGAAGTGAGAGTAGATTAGGAGTCTGCAGATATTTTAAAATCTTTGATTTAAAATTTCATTAACAACAAAATGCTTTATTATAAAAAAATTAACTTATTTTTATTAGAAAGGCAGATGTTGAGGGAGAAGGAGAAAGACAGAAAAGATCATCACTCCCCAGAGGGCCACAATGGCCAGAGCTCCAGGTGTCCCATGCACGCGCACGGTCACAAGGCTTTGAGTTGTCTTCTACTGCTTTTCCAGGCCACAAGCAGGGAGCTGCATGGAAAGTGGAGCAGCCAGGACATGAACCAGCTTCCATATGGGATGCTGGTGCTTGCAGCCAGAGGATGAGCAAGTTGAGCCACTGCGCCAGCACCTTAAATGCTTTTTAACTTAATGAAAAATCCCTCAAATTAAAAAAAAAAAAAAAAAATCAGTGTACCTCTAAGCGTTATACACTAAGGTCATAGTGTACATGACTTCTTAATTTTTAACTTAAAAATGAATTCTAAAATTCTGATGGTAAATTATAAGTACTGAATAATCTACAGTAATATATTAAAAGCTTTCAAACTTGGATCCATCAGAAAAGACCGGCATATTGACACTCACCATTATATAAAGAGCCTCCTTCAGCATATTCCATCACAAGACACACCTAAAGGAAACATACACCAGAAGAATTAACTAGAGCTATAGCATCCTATGGTTCTTGAGAATTTAATTCAATCTCTTGGTTTTGTAAACACATTAGAAATCATTTTCAGTCTGTACTGTGTGAAGAAGACCAGAGGGAAAGAAGATAAATGCGTCTCCCAGGAGTACCCCCTAAAAAGGGAGATAAAAAAAACAAATGAAAAGCCATAAGCACAGATCTTTTGGGGATTTTCTTCAGAGCGGAGAAGCAGATGCTGTCCTAGGTTATCAAAAACCTCCTAAGATGAGGTTGTTGGATAAGAACCTGAAATAACTCCTCCAATACACGGCTTTGCTGAAACTAGAGAAATGCATAAAGTACAACATGCCTCTAAAATATCAGATGCAAGTAATTTCATGAACTACACATTTGTACACATTTTCCACATCATTCTTACAGGCAGATGACAAAAAGTGACAAACTTACTGGGTTCAAGCAGGCTCCATATAGCTTTACAATGTTGGGATGGTTCACACGGGACAACTGTCGAAGCTGTAACAAATTAAAGTTTCTTTCAAAAAGTGGTGATTTTTTTTTTTGACATCCTGATTTTATAGCATCATTATAATCTTGTGCCACTCTAAAACATTTGTATACATCACTGAACTATAACTTTTTAATAGCAGGCATTGTAGGGTTGCAGCACTCAAAATACCAATGCCTGTCCAGAACAGGACAAAACTTTCTGTCCTCCAACAGATTAGTTGGAGGGATAGACATATAAACAGATAATTAAAGCAACACGGGAAGTACTATAATAGGAGTTATAAACACAAAGAAAAGGAAATGAACTCTGGCAAGTAATGTCAGGACAAGATGCTGGAGAAGGCTCGGGACCGACAAGCAGAAGCCATGATTCTGTGGCCCACACCGTTAGCTTCAGTGAGCAGTCCATGTACACTGGTAGATAGCGAGCACAACAATGCTGCAAGGGTGCTACTGTCACTTGCTTCTCAAAGGTCAGACCTTAAAGTTAAAGCTACGAGAGGTGAGTCATTTGCTGAACATGCTCCTGCCAGGAAGTTATCAATGACGGTCTGAACTTTGATCTGATTTAAAAGGTACACTCTGCATATACTGGCCTCTCTTTTCTATCTCTCATCTAATCAATTCCCTCTTCTCCATTTCCACCGCTCCTGCCTTAATAACTCCAACGCTGCAGTAATTATGATGAACCATGCAGCTGGTCTCCCTACTTTTCAGTGAGATCAGTCAGCTGTAATCGTTCTTATTCTACATCTCAAATTCTGTTAATGTATCGTTATCTTCCACCATCATCCCCAAACTACTTCTTGCCTTTTCTTAACTCTTTCTTTCGCCCTTCTCCCTCTCTCCTTCCTCTCCTTATTACCTACACTGTGCTGCTGGCCCATATTAAGTCCACTAAGTTTCTAAAGCTTTTTCAAAATTGTTATTATTTATTGAGAGGTGGCTACAATGACAGAGAAAGCTCCCACTTACTAGTTCACACTGGCAGGGCAGAAGCTGGGAACACAATCCACCCTGAATGGGCAGGCGGAAACACTTAAGCTCTCACTGTTACACCTCCCCCCTCCACCCCTCCAGGGTCTACACTTCAGGAAGGTAGAGTCTGCAGCCAGAGTTGGGAATCCAAACCCAGGTACTCCAGGACGAGATGCTGGCCCCTCAACCCTTAGGCCAAACATCTGCCTTCTACATCTTTTTTTTACTGCAAGCTACCAGAAAGCTTTACCCCTCTACAGCCAACATGTTTAGATTTTCAATTCTAATAGACTTTTTAGTCATTTCATAAAATCTCCAAAAGGTTGGAAGGTAGCATGCAAGTGAGCTGAGGGTCTGGTTCAAAGTCAGACTCAAAGATCTCGTCTCTAATTTCAAAGCTCAGTGATGACCTTATCATCCCAGGTCTGAACTGCTGGATGAGAGTATAAATCACTTTCTCTTTAATTTTACTCAGAATGTTAATGAAACAGGGTACTGATGATACAAAATACTACAAGAAGAAATAACTAAGAAACAGTCTCTTTCATATTATTAAATTTCTGGACTATCCCAGGTGGAGAATTACCTAGTAGAAATGACATTCCAACTTACCTCGACAATAAAAGCTTTCCTCTCAGATTCACTTTCTATTTGTTTAATTGCAACATCTTTTGCTCTCCATTTAGCCTTGCAAACCACTCCAAAGGCTCCTCTTCCAACAACCTGAGTTAAAAAATAAACCCACATGAATCAGAAGCAAACATGTCCAGTCTAACATATAATACTGATGTCAATCTTTATTTAACAATTATGTAACAAAATTTTAGAAACCATGTCTTAGATTGTCCAGTAAGCAGTAAGAATGTTCATTAAAGTGAAGGATGATTAAATGTACACTCCTTTATTTTCAAGTAAAATCAAGAAGAATAAATGTGTTGTGGTACGGGTTAAGCAATGGCTTGGGATGCCCGCATCCCAAACTGAAGTGCTTGGGATCAAAGCCTGCTTCCATTTCTGATGCAGCTTCTTGCTAACGTGCAGTTTGGGAGGCTCCCTGCTCCCCACGTGAGAGGACTGAGCCACATCCTGGTTGTTCTGGGAACCTGGTAATAAACAAATCAGTGCATGGAAGATCTCTAGCTCCGTGTCGCTCTTTCAAATAAATAAAAATACACTGAAAAATTAAAAAAGAATAACACAGTAATTGAGTAGGGGAAGTGGATGCAAGAAGATAAAAACATAGATAACAAAAGAATAACCAAGGCGAAGATAAGACAAAAAATGCCATCAACATGATGGAATATTACTTGGGAAGAAAAAAAAAAACAGGACATACGTTACAATACAGAACCTCAAAAACCCTGTCAAATTAAAGAAGCCAGACACTACAGACCATGTAGTACATGATTCCATTTATATGAAATGTCCAGCCATGACAAATCTATAGGACAGGGAATGTAGAGCAGAGATTGCCTGGTGCTGAGGGTAAAGAACGGAATTAACCATAAGTAGGCAGCAGGTATATTACTGAAATCATGAAAATATTTGAAAACCAATTTATCATGATAGCTGTCAATTTCATTAATTCATGAAAAACATCTTGAATTTTCTATATAAAATCGGTGAATTTTCATATGTACATTATATCTCACTAAGCTAATTTTCAAATCTCATAAAAGTAAATACTGAAGTTAACCAATGAGTATCAGAGGAATCCATGGTCGGTCATGCTGTTTTGTCTACTTTTACAAAACATTTACATTTCCACAGTATAAAACATAATACTCAAAGGAAATGAAAATTAATAGATTTTAGTTAGACATTAGTTAAATGCTATCTACTCCAATCTTACAACTTTCCATGTATTTTAATACTGTGCCAAGGTCTTTTCCTTGGGAAACAAACTCCCCCATCCCATTTATATATACTTCCTACAAAGTAAGCCTTGAGCTAAGTGTTCACATACATTAGTTCATTTCTACAACCCTACAACAGTTACTAATGTTATCCTAGCTTTACATACAAAGAATCCAGCTTTAACAAGGTAAGCTAACTTAGCTGAGCTTACACAGTTTGCAAGTGGCTGAGTTTGCTTTGATGCCAGGCAGTCTCACACAAGAATGCCATCCATTCTACTTTGTAACACATAGGGCTGCGCACGAACTAGAAAGTAGCAATCATGTCTTCCCTTAGAGGGAACTTCACCCTAGACAAAAGGTAGGCAGGCAAAACCCTAGCATAACACTCTTCTATAACAAAAGGGACTATTACAGCTGAGATGAGCAAATGAGTTATTATCTGTATTAGCCCACACTGAACAGTATAAAGGGGGCACTAATAACTGGAGCAAGACAGAAGTTGCCAGGGAACTTCCTAGTAAAAATGTAAGCTCTTTTTTTTTTTTTTTTTTAAGATTTATTTATTTTTACTGGAAAGCCGGATAGAGAGGAGAGGAGGAGGGACAAAGAGGAGAACTGTCCCATGATTCACTCCCCAAGCGGCCACAATGGCTGGAGCTGAGCCAATCCGGAGCCAGGAGCTGGAGCTTCTTCCGGGTCTCCTACACGGGTACAGGGTCCCAAGGCTTTGGGCAGTCCTTGGCTGCTTTCCCAGGCCACAAGCAGGGAGCTGGATGGGAAGCAGGACTGCCAGGATTAGAACCGGCGACCATATGGGATCCCAGTGTGTGCAAGGCAAGGACTTTAACTACTATGCTATCGCGTCAGGCTCTACAAGACGTAAGCTCTTAATGGTGGACAGGCTATCTTTTAAGTTTTTCTCCTCAAGAGTAAAACAGATATGCTGTCATTTTCCCTAGTCAATATCTATAGGTAAAAAGCAGGCATTTCTGATATACTACAAAAGATTTAGTGTTTGGAGTAGAGTGTCAATCAACGTTGGAGGCCATTGCATTTATTTCTCTCACAATAAACTAAGATGAAGAGCAAAACAGCATTAAAAATGGTTAACATTACGGTAATATTAGACTAAGAAGATGTACCTGGAAACAATCCACCTACTGACATTATGCATGCTATTATCAACTAAAATGAATGAAGTAATTTAGTATGCTCAACCACGTACTCTGAAGAATTTTCTAATACACCAAAACAACTGAATTCTCTTTATTCCATTCTTTTTTTTTTTTGTTCTGAGGAATGAATGTTGGATGTTCATGCAGGGTTTACAAACACCCATATTTGTGGATCACACATTTGTTACAAAAACATACTGAATAGGTATGACTATTCATGACCCACAGTGCCACCTAGTGATGAGATGGCGGTTGACTCAGAGCTCTCAAAACCAGGGGAACAATCGAGAGCATAATAACCTTTCTCTTTTTGGCTTGAGAAGAAATTTTCCAGTATATTTTGAAATATTATATAGGTACATTCATGTGAGATGACAGCCCATGGCCTCAAGAAGCACTGATTTTCTTTAAGGCCACAAGATATTTCACATGCAACATGAAACTGGCATTTACATAAGAAAAGTTGATATGTCCAACGTTGCATACAAAAATTTGAAATCTCATAGAAATAATATGAAATCAAAGTTGTGCAATTGTAGGTTTAGAGGTGATGCTTAGAAATTAATTTTTTGCATATTAAAACATGATTTCTCATTTTTCCAAATAGCATAAATACAGCTATCATAAGTAAGAATGCCTTTTTGGGCTGAAAGTAAGGTAGAGACAAAATTAAAGATTAACCCATAGTACTTGCAATTATTGTGAACAGCAGCTGAGAGAGAGCCAAATGTCAGAATTCAGGTGGAAGCTAGGCACCACCACTCCTCCCCCAACTTGCAGCCTATCGATGCTAGAACAGCAAAAGGATTCCAGGGCAGGAGGACCTACTCTACTTTTCACTCAGGGGGCAGCCTCACAGGTGTTCTGAAAACAGAGGCATCTACAAAAGAATCAGGATAGTGGCATGGGAGATAGACAAGAGGAAGGCTGCCTTAGCCCTGGCGGAACCTAGCAGAGATACAGTAAAACCCCTGCCAAGAGAAAAAGCCAGAGGACTTAACATGAAAGTCTTCCGAGTGAGGCAGTGCTGGTACCTCTATCAGAGGCTGTGGGTGGTAGACAGCTCAAATACAGACCACAGCTGAGTGTTTAAAACACAACAACAACAACACAAAGTCAAAAGAAAGACTTAATCAGCCCATGGGCACACAGTACTTGGTTCAGTACTTTGTATAGAAGGATTAGGAAATACTACCCCAGAGGTAGCAAGTGTGATATAGCACTCAATTTTTCAAAGTTATACCAGTTGGGTATCTCTTATAAAGAACATACGGGATTGAAGGTCTTCCTATCCTGGATTCTGGGATACTTACCTGTACGAGTACACAATGAGATACCTGGGACTGAGACCCAAGTCTAAACACAAAATGTATCTATATTTCATTTGCACTTAAATACGCAACCCAAAGTCAATTTTATACAATGTTTTTGGTGCCCTTTTCACTGTGACCTCCTATGTGAGATTAAGGATGGAATTTTCCAACTGCAGCATCAAGTCAACAATCCAGACTGTGGAGTTCTGGGTTAGGAATGCCGAGCCTGTATCAAACTAAAATTTTGATTATTTAGAAGACGGGTGCAAAGAGGGTCTAGTTTATTTTAAGAAATAAGGGTGGATTTGGGTCAGTGGGAGGCTTACTTATCACAGACATATGGTAGAAGTTTCCAGTGCTGGCTCCCATCAATTCTTTCCCTCTGTGCCTGCTATTCCTCACTGAGAAGGGAGTGCAGATCTGGTTTGAGCTAAGGCTGCTCTGGACTGTTTCAATCAGTATTGCAATTGAAGCAATGTTTGGGAACTTCTAAAACTGGGACTTGAGCAGAGCAGCAGCTTTTAATTCACTCCTCTTGGGACTCAGGCACCTCCTATAAGAAGCCCAACTGATAATGGAAAGGCTGTGTGGAGAAGAGGGAGTGTGTCTGACAGATCAACCCAGGTCCCAGCAGATACCTGTACCCCTTAGACATGAGTGAATCATCCTGGATTCCTGGCATTCCAGTTGAGTTCTCAGATAACTGCATCTTCACCAAACCACTACAGAACTGTTCAGCTCACCCCCGAGTCAATACAAATTACAGGGAGAATGATGGATTAGGCAGTAAAATACATTAGAACAACAATTTGAGAAAAACAAAAATAAAAAACTATTTCCTAAGAATCTTGAGTGGAATTCTTTAGTGCAATAATTAAAACTGTAAGAAGTTTAAAAAAAACATGCTAAAGCATACATATAAACAGGGATAGGAAAAAACTTTCTAAGCCTGATACGAAAAAACAATGAATGGCAAAAAAGGTTCAGATGAACTTACAAATGGCCAACAAACACAGTGGTGGCAAAACCCCCTATGATCAAAGATATGGTAATTAAAACAATATTCAGATTTCAATAGGACTTATAAAATTCTAAATTCCAATATTACTTGGTGATATATATGTATCAGGATACATCTTAAATATATTCACTTTCAACCCAGCAATACTATCTATGCTATTTATCCTAAGCAAAAATCAGAAGGTATGGCAAGACTGCTCATGTAGCTCACGGTAACATCACTAAGCATCAAGAGGAATGATTAAGAAACAGTTCCATCTTAGCTTCTTTCACCGACTCTTTCTCCTCTGTCCAAATCTTAGCAGATACTGATGGTTTCTAGAGTTGTCCTTGGTCTACTTTCCTCTATTTTCAGG